CCAGCCGAGTTTCAAAAGTGCATGGTCTTTATACTGCATGACGAAATTCCACACATCGCAAACATTTTTATTGACGACTTGCCCATCAAAGGACCGCGAACACAGTACTTGGACTCAGAAGGGAAACCTGCTACTATTCCTGATAACCCCGGAATACGACGCTTTATTTGGGAGCATGCACAAGATGTGCACCGAATCCTTCATAAGCTGAAATGTGCAGGGGGGACAGTATCTGGACTTAAGACACAGATCTGCAGACCAGAGGTTCTTATTGTTGGACAACGATGCAATCCAGAAGGGCGAGTACCTGACCCCAAGAAAGCTAGTGCCATTATAGACTGGCCACCCCTGACTTCCCCACAAGAAGTCAGGCGATTCCTAGGATTATGTGGAACTGTCCGCATTTGGATTCGAAACTATTCTGAAATCATTCGACCCCTCACTGAATTATACCGAAAGTCCACTGAATTTGTCTGGGATCACCGACGGGCCAATGCATTCAAGACCATCAAGGAACTTATAGCCTCAGCACCCGCACTACGACCCATTGATTACGAGTCAGAACTACCAGTGTTTCTATCTGTTGATTCTAGCCGAGAAGCCACTGGTATGATTTTATCGCAAATAGATGAACAAGGACGGAGACGAATCGCTCGATATGGATCGGTACCTATGAGCGAACGAGAATCTCGCTATTCTCAGCCAAAGCTCGAATTATTCGGACTCTACCGAGCTTTGCGGCATTGGAGGTTATATATCATTGGAATCAAGAACTTCCAGGTAGAGGTGGATGCTAAGTTTATCCAAGGACTTCTAAACAATCCTGACTTGCAACCTGATGCTGCAGTTAACCGATGGATTCAGGGAATTTTGATGTTCCACTTTAACCTGAACCACGTACCCGCCACCCGATTTCAAGGACCAGACGCCCTTTCCCGGCGGCCGAGAGCAGAAGGAGAGGAAGCACCTGATGATGATGATGATTGGTTAGACCAAATTGCGCTGGCAGGAATTCTAGCTTCAGCAAATTATAAAGCCCCAAGGTACTTCCGGGATATAAACCAAGTATATGAGCGGCAAACAGAGCTATATCATACTTATGCCCCGCACATACTTATGTCCCGACGAGCTCAAGAGAAGCAGATGAAGGAAATTATACACTTTCTCAGGACCTTGGAGATGCCGAAATTCAGTTCTGCTCAGCAACAACGGAGGTTTATTGCGAAAGCAACACAATTTTATGAGCGTGAAGGAAAGATATGGAGGAGAAATGGGCAGCTGGCCCCACAATTGGTGATAATGGAACCCAAGTCCCGGCTTGCAATTCTGATACAAGGGCACGAAAATTTGGGGCACCGAGGCATAGATGCCGTATGGGCATCACTGAAAGCACGTTTTTATTGGCCACATCTAAGGGCGGACATTCAGCATCACGTAGCCTCCTGCCCAGCATGCCAAATTCGCTCCACTAAGAAGATGGAAATTCCGCCCACTGTATCAACGCCAGTCGCAGTATTCAATCGGCTCTATATCGACATAATGCGAATGCCCACTGCAAATAAATGCAGCATGATTGTAGCTGCTCGAGATGATCTAACAGGTTTCTGTGAAGCTAAGGCCTTACGAGCTGGAACAGCGGAAACCATGGCTGAATTCTTCTGGACATATATTTATTGCCGGTATGGATGCCCACTGCAAGTAACCACTGATAACGGCTCCGAAGTACAAGCCGCTTTTGCGCTACTCATGAAGCGATTACGAATTCCGCAGATCCAAATATCACCTTACAACAAACATGCCAATGGTGTAGTAGAAAGGGGACATTATATATTGAGAGAAGCTCTTGTCAAAGCCTGTGAAGGAATGATTTCAAAATGGCCGTCTCTGCTAGCTGCAGCTGTATTCGCAGATCGAGTAACAGTAAGCAGTGTTACCGGATATTCGCCCTTTGAATTGTTGCACGCCACGAAGCCAGTGCTTCCTTTTGACCTAGTAGAAGCCACGTTCCTGGTGGAAGGATTCTACTCGGGCATGAGTACGACTGAGCTTCTAACGCTGCGGATCCGACAAATACACATGCACCCCAAGGATATTGAACGTGCCGCCAACACGCTAAAGAAAGCTAGATTTACGTCAAAGGCACAGTTTGAAAAGAGATTCAAGCATCGACTGTTAAAGGAGGATTACAAGAGCGGAGAATTGGTTTTATTACGCAGTGTTAAACTCGAGACTACGGTTAGCTCAACCAGTAAAACAGACGACCGCTATACTGGACCATATGAAGTAGTACGCAAGAACCGAGGAGGCGCTTACGTGTTGAAAGAACTTGATGGAACCCTGCTGAAGGGAAAGGCAGCCGCCGCATTTCGGTTGATTCCGTACATAACACGCGATCATTGGTTTATGAGGACGGGATGGATGGGAGAAGACACCGATGGAGGCCCGAATGAATCAAGCTCGGAAACCAGTAGTGAATCCAGTGGAAATGAGAGTCTAACGGATGGGGAGTGAGGAGACCCTGGGATCCAATAACGATATTATTCTCGAGTCCACGACAGTGCGGCCCCACTGACCAAGTCTAAATGGCATGCTCACCCCGCACTGTGAATATATAAATTCAGACAGAAGCAACAGAGACTAGTTCCCTGCGCTGCTACTACCATGAATCCGCCTGCTATCGTTTCTGTTACCACTACGCATCAAACCAAGCCTGCTGAAGATGATGCCCTTAGTATCGCGTCTAATGAAACTATAGTAGCATGTGCCAATGTTACCACCGGTGGATCGGAAGTAGATTCCAGAAAGGTACGGTTTCGAAGCTTGAACTGCTCCACCAAGAACTAAAGTCCAGCCTTCATCACATTCCTTTCAAAATTTCCCCCATTCCCTCTGCCTAGTCAACCGTTCTCGCTTTCTGCTCGTTCTTCGGGTGTGCCCTCAAACGCCCGAAACCCCACGTTCTACCATCATGGAGATGCCACGAATTGCCACGACACAAACCACTAACGAGTTTCACGCGGGGAGCCCTACTGTCAGCACCATCGCCCTGTTCGATGAATCAGGGTCAGTCCACCATAACCAAACACCCTTTCGCAACAGTGACGCCACCTGCCTCGACATTAGTGCCTTGGGCACTCCGCTTGCCATGCCGCAACCCCACGCTGCTTACGACCCAGGCGTAGCAGCCAATCTAATGATCACAGAGACGCCCTCCTTGTTACGCACCACTCCTTTGTATCGTAACATAACCCCAGAACGACCCCAGCCTCTGGACCAGACAGAATCTTGGATCATTGACGACGACTTCTTCGATGCCAGTAATCGCATGACTATCATCGTGGACCTGCTCCCATGGGGAGCATATGCATTCATGGCCCCCTTCGACTTGGACTCCTTCGTCTTCACAAACATGGAGCTTCGTCTCCGAGGGTCTCTGAGAGGAGTTTGGACGGTCAAGGAATTTGTATGGGAACGGGAAGCGCTTGCATTCGTGAGAATAGACGAAGAACGGCTGCATTACCGTGCAAGCATAGGATTCCCACGCGCATGCATTTGCATGGACGGCCCTGATCCCAAGGCTAACCGCATTGCAAACCAGATTGCTGATGTACGCCGTGCCGCGCTCCTTCGGAACGAACCACCCAGCGAAAACAAATGGATATTCCATACACCGCCGCCGCCGCCGCCTTCGCCAGAGAATCTTACCTTGTTCCCAACGGAGGAAGATTCCGACGAGTCCCACACCACGTACATGGGCTGGTAAACAACGCACATCGGACGTTATTTTAGATTAGACGCAAAAATTTGTACCAATAATAAGCGAACCCTTTCTTGATGTCCTTCTCATCATGAGAAAATCTGTTCCAAAAGATTCGGCTCATTATGGCAACCGAGGACGGTTGAGAGTTTCGTTCCCCGCGGATGTCATCCTCCAAAAGTGTTTGGAGTCAGGATGGAATAGGAGCCGAAATTGGAAAGATTAAGGAATGATGAGAAGTCCAGAAGAAGTTACGACTCCGCATGAACAGGCCATAGGGACTGCAATGCCGGAAAAATGTAAGTCAAACTGGAGCCTTTGACGACTCATCAAGTGACATCATTAACTGTGCCGACCAGTGCGAATGAGGTCATTGACTGTGCACCTTGGAGCAAACTGTGCAAACCAGTGCGAAACGACTGTGCAATTCGGAGTAAACTCTGCAATCCAGCGCAAGTGACTGTGCATTGTGGAGCAGACTGTGTAAACCAGCGTAAAATGGCTTTATCGACTGTGCAAACCAGTGCTGATGACTCAGGAAATGATGTCACTGACTGTGCAAACCAGTGCAAAGGACTCATCTATTTTTAGTACTATAGTATATAAACCCCTTGTAGTAGCCAGCAAAGGACAATAGAAATCCTTGCCCTCTAAGCATCTAAAAGTGTGAACCACTTCTAAGTAATCCTAAGTCAACGAACGCCCTACGAACGCCCTACGAACGAACGCCCTACGAACGAACGCCCTACGAACGCCCTACGAACGAACGCCCTACGAACGAACGCCTACGAACGCCCTACGAACGAACGCCTACGAACGCCCTACGAACGAACGCCCTACGAACGAACGCCTACGAACGCCTTACGAGCGAACACGCTACGAACAAACACCTACAAACGCCTTACAAATTTTAGCCTACCAACACCCTCTTTCGGGCCCTTCTTTTTTTTACTAATTTCTAATCTTTCTCACTTCACACAGTTTTCCGAACTTTCGAGAAACTTCCGAATAACGACAATTCCGAAGCACCTCGAGTATAACAATTTATACACCTGACACCGCACAGTAAGTACAATTTCTTTACTTACTGGTGCAGCTAAAAGATCAAATATGATATGAAGGTTTTGTGGTGGGACCTTTTTTGTGTTCGAATTACTACAAGAAACAACAGATGAAGGTTTTTACAGGCTGTCCATACAAAAAAGAACAATTTAGAAAATAATTCCAGAGATGGAGCTATCTATGTGCTCTCAGGGATTCGAACCCTGGACCCACCCTTGTTATGTTCTATACATTCAACATATAAGGAGGTGCGTTACCACTACACCAAGAGCACTACACTAGCTACTTGAGAGGCAATCAATAGATGTGATAAGCAAAGTGCACAACTACTAATTAACTTGAGAATCACTGCTCTAACATTAGTAATATAAGATACTAATGTCCACTGGTTCTACATCATAGAGCCCTTTTTACACAAAAAAAAAGAAAAAAACAGGTTAGAAACAAAGTTTATGTGCCTTCAGAGATTTGAACCCTGGCTCTGTTCATATTGCATAATCAAAATGAACTACACCACCAACCTAGCTAAGGTTCAGTGTGAGTTCGTGGCTGTAGTCCAAAAGTGTCCAATAATTGATCCCATCCCATTCCGAAGTCTGTGCGATATGAAGCTATGGGTCCTACTTTGCCCTCAAATTTAGATCACATTGGTTATACACAGACCTCGACCCCAGCCCTGGAGTTGAGTTGATATCAAGACATCCGGCTGATGTCCCCGAACTTCAACACTGTAGCCAAACAACTTCACCAAGCGGTGAACGTCTAATGTCATACCGAGAGGATGGGATTTCGATAAAATAAGGGAAAAATAAGGTATGCAGTAGTTATACGATGGAATTACCAGGAGGGGTCATTAGGATCGGCAGACTTCAGGTTCATATATAACTGTTAAGAACAAATTGGCGTCTCATCCGATATTTTCGATCCTTCTCCGTTTGCGCTTCCGTCCTCCCGTTTATCCAAGGCAACATCTTGTTCCCCTTAGGCTCGTCTTCTGACTCCGTTCCATCGTGTCTTCCTCTCCGTGTTGCCATCGCTCTCATCACCATCATCCTCATGTCTCTTTCATCAATCACTGCTTCCTCGGCTTCGCGGCAGCTCGCTCTGCGTCCTCGGCCTCCTTCTTTTTGGCCTCAGTATTTAGGCGACGTTTTGCCGCTGTCTTCTTCCGTCGTGCATCTCTTCCCGTTCTTGCCTTTTGGGCAACTTTCGCGTGGAATTCCTTTCGTTCCGAGTCTGGAATCAGTGGCTTTAGCCGAGTTAATGCAGTGGGCAGCACACGGCAGAGCTGGTGAAAAGAAAATTGTATCACAAGATACATGTCGCGTTTCGACAGACCATATACAGTAATTGCAAAACACGCTGAGTGTTCCATGTTTACTCTTGACTTACCCAACTAGCCCAACATCTTCTCCATCTTCCATGCATCCGAGATTGAACCTTACATAGAAAATGATAACGACCTCTTCCCCAACGCAAATTGGCTGAACCTGGACCAATTATTACCTATGCCAGAGAAGAGGAATCATCGATGAACGCCCTCACGGCTGTGGACGACCGTTGGCTGACTGGACACAAAGTCGCTAATGCAGAAGCACTCAATTGATGGCTTGCACACACTACTCTGGATTTTCAGGAGGGGGGAATACGAGAGTCCGAGGATTCAGGTCCAAGTAGACTCTTGAAGAGCTAGACTGTCTTTCCAACATTTTCACCGCATTATAAGCTTCAATCATCCCACCAGGGCAAGCATTTAAAGGATTGACTTTTGTGAGTGCTCCTAGAGCCTTACAGTCATAAAACCATTTGCACAAAAAAAAAAAGTGCAAAAGACCAATATTCTATATGCCCTCAACATATGTTACCACTACACCAAGGACACTATACAATACCTTTGAATGCAACTGATACATGTAACACAGACAATTCTCCAGAGTGCACAGTGTAGCCAAGTCATCTGCGAGAGAAAAATATCAAAATCATTTTGACCTGCAGAATGTGCTCTCAGGGATTCGAACCCCAGACTTGCTTATAAATCAGCCTTATATCCACGACTATTTCTAGAACATGTGTTACCACTACACCAAGAGCACCATATATAGTTTGGTTCGACTTGAGGTGCCAATTCTCTTGAGTGTGCTACTTGTCAAGGCACTGCTCACTTATATACATGCAAGTTTGATGTCTAGGATATACGGTTTTTGCACCATAAAGCTGTCTGTACAAAAGTAAGACAAAAAGATAGAGACAAAAAAATCTGTGGATTTGCAGAAGTGCTCTCAGGGATTCAAATCCCAGACCTGCTCATAAGATGATAATATACTGTATGATTACTTTTGAAATGTGTGTTACCACTACATCAAGAGCACTATAAATATTTCTGTCTGACTTGATTTATAGACTCCTGGAGTACTGTCAAGTGCGGTGTTCCGGATCCACCGGGTTCCGGCGAGACGGGTTCCGACCGGATGCGGGCTTGGCTTCAGCTCGTGCGCTGCGCCCGTCAATACGCCCGAGGCCCGATTTCCGAAGAGACAAAGACTAGAGGGAGAAGGCAATAGGGAACCAACTAAGTCGATATTTGAACTGAGGTTACTACTATACAATACTAAGTATTTATACTAAAGTTAAAATCGAGAATGATCCAGTAAGTAAATAAAGACAATAAAAATAAAAAAAAAAAAAAAAAAAAAAAAAAAAAAAAAAAAAAAAAAAAAAAAAATGAACCAATCAACAGACAGATGAATGCCAGATACAGTAACAAATAAAAGAAAAAAAAAAAACAATAGTAAGTCTTCAGGGATTCAAACCCTGAACCTGTCCACCTCATCACCTTTAGTTTTTAATCAGAGGACATGTGTTACCTCTACACCAAGAGCACCATGAACATTTTAGATCGACTTTGAGATACCAGCTCTCGGAGGTGCACTAAAGCTACCACATAACAAAAGTTTCTTTGTGCCTTTGAACCCTGGATCCCTCTATACAACATATAAATTTGGGTTTATTTACATACAGAGATGTCACTCCAAAGGCACTGTTATTTTAGCTGCACCTGAAGGCTGATGTGTAATACAAGCAATTCTCCGGAGTGTGAAGCCATTCACCTAAAACAAAAAGCTGGTCCGTGACTTCGATGTGCTCTCAGGGATTCAAACCCCGGACCTGTTCATAAATCCCTAGCGTACTTTATGACATTTTTAGAACATGTGGTGCCACTACACCAAGAGCACTATGAACAGTTTAGTCCAACTTGATCCATCAATGCTCTTGAGTGCATTAGCAAAGACATCACTGAACGAAAATAAAATAAAGAAGAATTGGGACAAATGTGCTCTCAGGGATTCGAACCCTGGACCCATTCATAACTCATAGTTACTTTAAGTTTTTGGAACTACACCAAGAGCACAATAAATCTGTGTGGTACAAGTTTGAGATATCAACTCCTTGGGGTGCTACCAACACCTTCCATTGAATGGATCTAACACATAACAAAAAGACCCTGGACTCTCCGTTACTGTATGTGGCTATCAAAATGTACTTGCAGGGAGACGTGTTACCTTTATACCAAGAGCACAGTGCTTGACAAAGGGACTGATAGACATAGCACAGAAGCTCTGCATTGCGAGACGAGGGGACTACACCAAGGGCACAATGTCCGATTTTGATGCTCCAACTCACGCTTGTGTTAGCACGGCGCTGCACAGCGCTTATGCGGACAGCAACGTAACGTGCTGGCCGTCGCCTTACCTGCGGCGGAATAGCGCGGTGAGTCATAGTGCGAACTGTCGGGAGAGAAGCGAACCGGCTCGAGGGCGGAAGGGAAAAACGAAGGAGCCGCGAGGAGAGGGACCCCGGGGAGTGGGGCGCTTCTTGGTGATGGGATGTTGATTAACTCCGTGATGCGGTCTTACACGCGGCGTGGCAAGCTGGATTGGTTTGAGTGTGCCGCTCGCGGGTTCGGGGGTTCGGGGGTTCGCGTGGTGTATGCGTGTAAAGCGCTGCTTCTTTTGGCCCGACTGTCCTTAAAACCCAGCTACCATGTCCGGCGACGTGCCAACGACGATGTCTCCTGACACCCCCGCCCCCGCCGCTGCCGACCCCGACGTGCCCATGCTCGCTGCTGGCCCCGACGACAAGCCCCCTGCGCCCGCTGGTGCGGACGACGCCGCCCCTGCTGCTGTGCCTGCCACGACGACGACGACGACGCCCCCCGCGCCGCCGCAGCCCGCGCCCCTGTCGACCTCCGCCCACCTCGCGAGTCTCCTGGCGACCGCGCTCGGCGACCTCGAGGCCGTCCGCGACGAGCTCGCCGCCGTGCGCAAGCGTGCCGAGCGCGCAGAACGCCTGCTGACGACCTTCGGCGCCGTCGCCGCCACCCTCGCCGCCTCCCCGCCGTCGACGCCGTCCAACCCCGCCGACTCGCCCGACGTGCCGCCCTCCCTCCCCCCGCAGACCATCGCGCACCTCGTCGCGCTCGACGAGCGCACCGCCCTCGCCGAGTCCCGCCGCGACGAGGCCCTCGCCCGCCTCGCGCTGCTGCAGTCCAACTGGGCGCAGCTCAACGCCTACCTCGCCGTCGTCGACGCCCGCGCGCAGGACGCCCGCATGGGCTTCAGCCGCATCGTCCAGGAGGGCGGCGGCCGCCTCGTCCTCGTCGACGTGCCCCTCCCCGCCGCGTCCGCCCCGCCGAGCTACATGCCCCCGCCGCCGCACGAGCGCGAGCGGGAGCGCAGGCGCGGGGCGCACATCGGGTCGCTGCCGCTGCCGCCGCTGCCTGGTGCGGGCGCCAGCGCGAGCATGGGCTCGATCGCGGGCACGCGTCGAGCGCGCGAAGGCAGCATGGACGTGCACTACGCGAACAAACGCCTCCGCAGCGACGGGGGTGATTACGATGTGCGTGTTACCTTGTCTGGATGCCTGGATGTACTCACTGACTTATTTTATTGATTTATGTAGTACCACCACCAACACGCATACTACCCCTCCACCGCGCCGTCGCGGTACGCCCCCGCCCCACCCGCGCCCCTCGCCTCCTCCTCGTCCTCCTCGCGCAAGCCCACGCACCACCACACGCCGCACGCCCCCTCGCACGCCGGCGCCAGGGACGCCCGCGAGCGCTCGCCGAGCACCGCGTCCGACGACCTCGACGCGCTCCTCCTCGAGAGCGCCAACGCGTCCCCGCGCGCGCACCCCGCCGCCGCCGCCTCCCATTCTGCCTCCCACTCTGCCTCCCATTCGCAGGCGTGGCCGCGCGAGGGCCGGGACACGCCGCAGCGCGCGGGGAGCGTCGATTCGCGGAGCCGCGGCGGGGGTGGTGCGGGCGGGGCAGGGGAGGGGGGGGGGGGGGTGGACGCGGGGTACAGCCAGCCGAGCGTCTTCGCGCCGCCACCGCTGCACAAAAAGGGCGCGGGGACGAAGACCTGCACGCCGGTGCGGGGGCGGGGGCGGGGTTCGGGTACACCGCCCTCCCTCCGTCCAGCTCCGTCCTGCCCAACCACACCTCTCTCCTCTTCCTCTCTCCCCCACTCCAACTCCGCCCACCCTTCCTCCTCCCTCACCCTAAACCCAAACGCCTCCCCCGCACCAACCCCCTTCCCCCCCACCAACACCGCCAACCAGCGCATCTGCCGCCAGTGCGGGCTGCCGGGGCGGTACAAAGACGGGAAGTGCGTCGAGAAGTGGGGCCCGGGGCCGCTGGGGCCCGGGACGGTGTGTGATCGGTGTCGGAAGAAGATGAAGCGGGTGGAGAGGCGGGGGACGTTGGAGGTGGCGCAGGCGCAGGCGGCGGCGGCGGCGCTGCTCATGGTGGGGGTGGGGGGGGGGGCATCAGGGGTAGGAGTAGGGGGAGGGGGCAGGGTGGGGTGGGTGGGCAAGGAGGGGTAGGTGGGGTGGGCAGGGCCGTCCAACGCGCGGACACCCTCCCCGCTGCGTACCGAGACCGCGACCGCGAACCGCAGGAAAGCAACATGCGCTCCACCGCCTCCTCCTCCACCACGCCGAACGCGGGACGGATAATCAAAAATCGGATAACGGTGCCGCCGTTGCCTTTGCCTTCTCTTCCTCGTCTTCTTTGGGGGGTGCGGGTGCGGGTGGGGAACGGGGCGGGGGAGGAGGGGGTGAAAGAGGGGGGGGGGGCGCCGGGGCTGCTGCCGCCGTTGCGGACGCATAGTCCTATGGAGGTGGATGAGGGGGACGACGCCGGCGGGGGTGCGGGCGGGGGTACGGGTGTGGGTGCAGGGGAGAGAGGGCAAGGAGGACAAGGGGGGAGGGAGGCGACGAGGGCGACAGCGTGGACGCGGACGCGGACGCGGAGGCGGAGGTCGACGACGAGTCCGTGGCGCACCCTCACGCGCCGCACCCACGACATGAAGACGTCGACATTGACGGGGACGGGGACGGGGAAGACGGGGACGCAGAGGGCGATGGGGACGGCGACGGCGACGGGGACGGGACGGCGACGGGGACGGCGACGCGGAGGCGGACTGCTGGAGGCGGTGGATGCGGCGGAGAAGGCGGTGGTGGGGTCGAATGGGCATGGGCATGGGGGGCATGGGCATGGGGCGGGGAGGGGGCGGGTTGAGGGGTAGTGGGGGCCCACCGACGTACCGGACCGCACCGCACGCGCTGGACCGACTGTTGACGAAACCGAAGCCGAAATCCAAATCGCAAACGACGAAATCGCAAACGCAAACGCAACCGATACCCCCCCGTTCCGCTCCGTTCTCAATTGCAACTGCATTGTAGCTCTAGCTATATTTCTTGGCCTTCCACTCGTGTCTGTATTCCTTCTTGTCGCTTTCGATTTCGCATTTTCTTACTCTTACTACTACTGCAAGCTTGAATTCGTTCCTACTACACACTATGATACTATGATACTTACTACCCTACCTCTATACTCTGAGATATCGTACATATTGGCTGTCGAATTGGGAAGGAGAAGGAGTCGTATATATTATTGCCGCCAGAGGTGGAAGGAGAAAGGGAGGCGAAAGGATGAATGTAATTTATTGTAGCTTATCTATATATTTTTTGGTTCGAGGCTGGGAGGGATTGGGACGGGGAGGAGGAATGGGCAAGAGCAGTGTGGAAGAGCGACTGAGAACATAGATGGACTCTACACCAGGTCTATTTCATGCCAGTACAGTAAACGAGCCATCGAAAAATTTGCAATGAGTCATGAACAATCTCACTTCGCGCCCGCCCGCCCGCCGCCCCGGCGTATTTTTCAAAGCACGAGTACACCAGCACGTCGACTTTGCGCAATCTTTACTTGCCGGATAATCATCTCGCGATCGAACTTCGAAGCCGCCGCCCCGACTCGTTCGGTTCCTTGGTTCTCGGGACATGCGCACGCCCGACGGTGCGCCGCATGACCACCATCGATCGCGGGCCTCCGTTTGTCCCGAGCTCGAATAACAATTGGGATTTGAATTTGAATCCTGTAGGCGCGCGTCGGATGTTGGAGGTCGGACGTCGGGTGCGCATCGCAGACAGAAATACGCCGCTGGGTCCTCGTGTTTAATTGTTTCGAGGGGCCGCGCCCAAGAGAAATGAAATGAAATTTCAAAATTCCAGCCCACACTCTCCGCTTCTCCCGACAAAACAAAGGAAACGACCAAGGGAGGAGGGAGGGAAATGAAATCGATGTGCGCGATTCGAGTCGATCGTCTGAACAAAAAAAGACAAATGAAGAACATAACAAAGTTAAGTCGCCGCCTAGCCTCAGCGCTAGCATCGGTGATCGTGTACATACACATTTTCCGCTGCGCCACGAGGCTGCAAGCGCGCGCGCGAGCCGGGTTGGTTGGTGTGCGCGAATCGAAGCATCGGTGGAAGCAGAGCCAGCCTGGAACCACCGCGAACCAGCCCGCTGATTGGCGCCGCCCCCCCACCGTATGTATTCGAAGCGAAGCCGAAACGCAAAGTCCCGCTCCACGCCCTGCCACCCCGCGTGATGGGTGGGTGGGGGGCGTGCAACGGCGTTTGGGTGCGGCGGCTGGCTGGATGGATGTTGACGTTAATTTGGGATGTGGGCGCGGGGGGCCAGGCGATCGGAGCCTGCGTGCGTGTGCGTGTTTTTGCGGGGCCAGTGCGCGCAGCGCGTGCGGTGCGGCCAGACAGAGAGGTTGAAAAAAGCGCGTCCGCGTCCACACTCCAGGCGGCTGCCGCGCTATGCTTGGCCGCGGCGCAGCGCGGGGGACTGGGGATTAATTTTACGCACGTCTGATCC